CAACGTTGAATATCTTGCAAAAGGAAGTTTTGGGTTTATTTATAAAGCAACTTGGTTGCACATCTACCTGACAAATGGGATCATGAAGAAAATAAATTTAAACGAAGGGGAGAAACGAAAATTTGTGTTGAAATCAATCATTACACAATTCAAACCGAATTACTCTAGAGTTTATACGCGAGGTAAAAAATGTACATTTACTAAAATGAAAGCGAGTTACCTTTTTTTAATGCAATCAAATTTTTTGAAAAATAGTTTCACGCTGCTCTAAAGTTCAGTCTTGATTTGATTAAATATTATAAAATCCCGATTACAAATGAATATTCAATAGTGATCTTTATAAATACATTAATTCCAACTAAAAAAATCAACTTGGAATCAAAATTAGAATATTTGTACGATATAATCCAAGCTTTAACAAAAATTCACAGAGAAATGTTTATAAATAGTGACATTCATGCTGATAATATATTAATGTGGAACGTCCTCAAATTGCTGGCAGGCTTAGCATTCAAACAGATATAAAAAAATCTAAACAAGAAATCTATGGAGTACGTCCTTAAATGACTCCATTATTATCGTTATAGTATAAACATATGTCTTTGGCATAATCATCATTTGAAGGAATCGGAATACTGCGCACAATAATGATAATTGAATCATATTGGAGACTTTTAAAAAGATCATCCTTATAAATTTAATCATTCTCGCTTGGATCTTTTATGTTTCATTGTTATAAAAAAGGTATATGTTAATTTATTTATTAATTTAAACTTATCTTTTTATAGTTATAAAAATATATAATTAAAGATTATTACGCACATTCAAGTTACTTGTTTTATGAACGTCAACTCACTTCGTGTGAAATGAATCTCAAAAGAATAGAATTTATTGACATTATGGTCATACAGTATAACTTAAGTTCAGTGTTTAACAAATAACGAACATTGGATTTGTCCGTGTCCTTATTTTGATTTTTATATATAAACATCCACAATCTCATGCATTTTTTTATAAAGTATGTATATAAATAATTATATTTTATTAAAAAGATTAAAATCTTTTTTAGATTAATAAGCAATATATTTGCTTAGGTTGGTTGCAATGCAACGTGTCCTTTAATCTCATCTTGACGAACATCTAATTAGTAATTTCACCAATAACACTAATGAAATCTCTACAATAAATACGGCACACGAAACTTATTTACAATTTATTCTTGATGTATCAAAAATTCTTCATAACAGCCAAAAATTTTCTGATAATCTGGAAGAAAATTGAAAAATTAGTTGAAGATGTGTTGCAGCATGAAAAGAGACATACATTGCTACAAACATGATGAAATACACAATATATAGATAAAAGTTATTCTATCTCGGTATGTTTTATTTTATACTTTGTATTATTTTAGTATTAAAGTTTCATGGGCTTAGTTTCAATAATGCTTTGACATATTTAATATAAATAGTATAGTATACGATTCGAATAAATTAAATATTATAAGTTTGTGTGTGGTTTAAAACCATCGTTATATGCCAGGGACTTGGAAAAATTCTGATACATAAATATTGGTATAAAACGGAATAAAAGGGAATTTTTATAATATGTATATGTATATATATGTACTTCAAAAAATCTTTTTATAGATTATCTCTATTTCATTTGAACAACCATTATCATTATGTTTATTTATGAAAAATATTTCCTAAGCAAAAACGAATAATTGCATATAGTCGTGCACAAGAATTTTCTGAACATTATGATAATGGAATTCTATTACATGTATGTTGGTTTGTAGTCATCAAAAGGGAACATAAAACAACTACTATTTCGCATATTAATACAAGAAAATGTTAAAAAAATCATAATCATTTCAAATAGCATGCGTTAAATTTGACTGTATCTATGACACTTTTACAAGAATGAAAAATTTAATTTAGAACAAAATTTATCAGTTAGTGAAATAGGTATCAAATATATTCGTTACCAATTTCACGTAATGTAGCACGTAGTTTTAGTGCTTATAGACAAATATCTTTGCCAAGAAACTTCGTGGACTTACGATTATATATAAAAATAATAATATATATGTTCAATTTCGGTTTTTCAAAATCACAACGGTCATTAATCACATGATCAGTCGGAAAATCATATAATTGCGCCTCCGAATAATGCATAATCACAATCAGAAATATTTATATATTAATGAACGACGCGACATTATAAAGTGAAAAACATTTGTAAGATATAGAGAATAATTTTTGATTACATCGTTTTATGTGCTGTACTAATCGATTAATTCTGTTTGTTATATGTTTTAATTGTACACGAGCTTCAATGCAAGTTGCATAACGGATATTAATACTAAAATTGCGAGCAATACATGATGCTCTTTTTTCAAAGTTAATTAGCGAAGGAAATGAATGCTATATGTTGCATTTCGTTCTGCGAAAGTTTAACACAAAATGTATATAATTTATTATGAGTCCAGTCATGATGTACACGTATTTTTATTTTTAATACATCCAATGATTGTATTTCTAAGCGAAGACGGTTATTATTGAGAATAAATCGACTTTCAAAAATGTTCCTCTCATTTAAAAGAACGAAAGAAAACAATTAAATCATAATTGGAAGAATTCTGACGATTTTTCAGAATTATCGACCCACCTATCAAATCTTTCCAAAAATTCGGGAAAAAATTCCACCCGTTGTACTTTCACGTTACGGTGTTGTATGCTAGTTCATAGCTATAATAAACAAGGCCTGATCAGATGAATATTACATATAAAAATAGGATGATTCGTGGTTTAATTGGTTAATGCAAATAAGTATTCTCTATGAATTATATATTTTTTTCATGGCGAAATTTCCTAGATATTTTATTTATTAAGCATTGCCACAATAAGAAAAACGCTATTAAATAAATTGTTAGCGTCACCTGGTTTCAATGTTATTTATCAATTCTTATAGATTTCTCTGCTTCTTGTTTATTTGTAGATTTATAAATGTTGTTCTGTACTTATTTTTGCATAAATTGTACGTATAGGTATCGGTATTGGCGAAATCCAGTAAATCCAAAATTTAATCAACAGATCAAAGAAAGTAATTCAGTACCACATGCCAATATCATTAATTTTTCCACCGTGTTTTACTAGACTTATTTAATTTAGATTCGAGTTTCGAATTTCTTTCGTGTTCAATTATTAATTTAGTCAAAGAGATCTGATAGGTTAATAATTTAATTCGTCCAATAGAAAATAATAAAATTCTGTTTGTTTGCCAAGGCGATCTTCAATTTATAAAATTTATAATGTATTCGAATTCAAAATAACTTCATCGGATATATATAGCATTTTATTGTTTTGTATTGATATGCATGAAAGCTAACTTTAAATTCATTGTCATAAAACACAGCAGCCAAACCGTTTTCAGGTGATAAACCTAAAATTTAAAATTATAACGGATAATTATTAATACACGTACACACAATCATTAGAGAACAAGAAGGTAACTTTGAGATTCTCCAAAAATGTCCCTGAATGAATTTTACATAAGATCTAAGAGTGATTTTCTTTGCACAGACTTGTGTGTGTTTTTTTAGGAAAAACTTTCAGTCATACAATCACTAACACACCACACAGGATTTTTTCACGATATATAGTATACATAGTTTTATGTCGCCGATTACCAGTGTTACAGCATTTATTTTAGCCCATAAAATATTTCTAAAGCTAGTTTCTCTATTTAAAATTCGAGTAAATACAAAAACAAATCATTATCTCGTATACGTTTCACGCGAAAGGATATATTCAATCAAATTCGATCGATATGCCAAGTCCTATTAAGATTCGATTGATATCCATATAAGGTTTTTAAAAAAGTGTATTCTAATTTATTGCAAAAAATGCCCAAACTTATATTTTTCCTTATAATTTTCAGATTGATTTACACGATTCGAAAATACACTAAAGAAAGCCGTTAATATAAATAGTGGCTTAATTCTCGAATTAAGTTTAACAATTTTTTTTAAAATAAACCAATTTTTTATTCTTCGATTTGCAGAGAGGAATTCTAAAATGCCTAAATGCACAAAGGAATTAACGCGCCGTGAGAAAAAAGGTCTAATCGACTTAAAAAAATTTTCGGAAACACGGAGCGATTACCCGATGATTCTGTTTATTGCGCGAATTCTTTATCGTATTCAACTACGATGTTTTTTCCAAAATCTAATAACAGCTTTGGATATTACAAAAATCCTAAATATCGAGCTCAACAGATTGCATAGACGTCAAATATCTATTCCGAACTTAATCGAACAATTGGAGAATACTCAAGCACCGCTTGACACTATACGCAATTTACTAACGGATAGTAGTGGTCCGCGCAAGCACAAAGGGGAAAAAACGGATATTCGTCGGATTTATAAGAATCTGATCACTTTAACGGACGATTTAAAAAAAGCGATGGCACACAATAGTCAAACCAACGCCAAAGAATCAACCAAACACGATTTCAAACATATAAATTTTGCCCCTACCGATTCTCTTATCTCTGAAAATGACGATGATGAAACAACGACTATCGAGCCACCACTTCCCATCGTTTGGCTTCCAACTTTAACAAACAAAGAGAAAGTAACTCAACGTAAAGTGTCTGCCTTTAGTCTGCGTAAGCGAACTGGCTTCAACACTTCAACCAAATATCGGCATAGACTATTGAGAATGCCACACGTGCAAGCCATTAGTAAAACAAGTTGCGTAACTAGTAATATCAAAAATCACTTTCTAAATATTGGACAAAAAAATTCGGCAGCTGTTACAAAAATTTGCATGCCGTCCGAGTCAATTATTATAGACATAGAAAATTATCAATATACCTCATCTTCACGTTCACGTCCAACACGTGAAGACAACGAAAAGCAAGGCAAAAATCTAATGTCTCTTCAAAATTTGGATAATCCGATTTCATCTGAACCATTTAACAAAAGTAACAATAATTCAGACTTGGTGAAACGTCTCCCTTCGCTAAATTACTTTTTAAATTCTATATCTGAATTTGCAAGTGAAAATTGTTCCTGCAAGAAGAGACTTACATTTGATTTCCGTCATTTATGCCGCTGTATTACATCTTTAAAGACTAATGCGCATTAAATATATTTTTTAGACTATTATAATTTACGGTATTTTAGTATTTAATATAATATACACGTTAGCATTATTACAACAACAACAACAACAATAACGATAATATTCTAATGTATTTATAAACTTCGTCTTCTAAATTTTATTGTATCTATTATAACTCTTTCATTTTAAATATATATCTTTGCTTTGTATCCATTATTTACGTCTCGTGTATATTTCATTTTTCATATTATAGCCTCTCTTCTTACTGTTCTGTTTTTTTAACTGTCTGTTCTTTACTTTTCCGTGTTATTCCTTCGTTACTATTTTAAATTGCTCTGAAAATAAACTTCGATTAATTTGTAGTTTAGAAATAATAATCTAGCATTTTTAATATAATCAAATTATTCTGGGATTTAAGCCATTTATTACGCCAATTTTTAAGCAAAATATTATGCAACTAATTTCAAATATTCAATTTAGTAGAATAATTTTTTTTCTAATAAAATTATATTTAAAATACTGTTACGGGTTTCGTGTAGATCGTTTCCGTAACAGGGAGTAGATTAAAGTGACGTTTGTGAAGAATTATAGGATTGGTTATAGGAAATTTCTGAACAATAATAGCACAGGTAATTATAATATTACGAGCCTTTATTTAATTGTTACTTTTTAAATGGAATTTTTCAATAATAACCAGTTCGAAACAATTTGTATAGACAAAATTCTCAAACGCTAACGATTAAATAACATGACTTTTCTGAATCAAAGACCCAACCATCAATCAAATTTATAGGAATAACACGGGTTTTTGTGAGTTAAAAAGATAATTATATAAAGGTGAATTTGTGCACAAGTAAAAATAATTATATGAATTAGAACTTTAAAGCAGACTTTATTTGACCTTTCGAACTATTCTATCTACTATAATTAATTCAAAAATTATTGAGAAAGAGGATAATTTATTATTATTGGATAAGTTATTACATGTAGATAAAACAAAGATGCATCGAAAACGGAAATCGGTGTTACGCCATTTTAAAAAGATGGAAAATACATGTAACCATAACAGATGTAAATCGGTGTTACACGGCAACAAAACACTCGCTATGCATAGAAAACTTTAATTTTTAAGTTTATCTATCGCTATAAAATGACCATTTACACTAGAACTACCGCCGTAAATCGCCACCAACCAGAAATTATTATCGTGTGTGTGCCCCGGGTACATTGCATGGAAGCGGGTCAGGGGAGTGACAAATATCGTTTTATTATAAAGATCCCCTCATGAGATGTCACATGTACTAGATGCACGTGATATTATATTAATCCTGAGATTTTGCCTTTTTCCCTCCTCTACATGTATTAGTTAACACAGTTGGTACTGTCTAATTGCATAGCATCGGTGCGGCGAAAAAAAATTATAATTTTATGGTCTACTGCAACAATATTACCCGTCCGTTTACACGATATTAATTTAATATATGCGATAATGCAATAAAATAAATTTTGATTACATGTATGGTTTCGTTTGTGTCGGATCTAATTAATGAATGCAATATTTTTTATTCTAAGGACACTCGAAAAATTCTACGCTAATTAAAGGTCGTTTATCGTTAGAGTTTGGTTATAAATAGAATATTAGAGTAGAGCTTATCTTCCCGGCATTTTTGTTGGTGTTCTAAGGCAGATTTATATGCCTGTTTCCGCATTTTTCATTTTCATCTTTATTGATTCGCACCACATCTGCACCGAATTTTCGGATTTTCGGAGTAATTACTGCGCCAAAAAGGAACAACATTGAGATGATCATTCTTATAGATATAAGATACCTTTAGTTTCACAATTTGGTGGATGTACGTAACTTAAAAGAAGGATCCTACAATAATACAAAACAGAAAGAAGGCAAAAACGTGTTATTTCTAAAAGGCCTATTATTTTTGGTACAGCTTTAAATAATATCTATTTGTATTGTAAAGAAAAATCCTACTTTAACATGAAATATAAAAATATGCAAAAATGTGTGTTGTTTCTAAGAGGCTTTTTTCAGTACAGATAGTCGTTTATACATGAGATGAAGTCAATGGAATCGATTGTTTGAAACTTCATTCCAAATATATATATATATATACTATAAATACAGGCAATTTGATTGTTAACACTGGCACCGACATCTTTTATATAATAGTCTGACATTATTTTAAATGTGTCATTAACAATCCCATTAGCGTCGATGTATTGTCGTTGATCGTAGAAAGGGAGAGTTGGTGAATTAGCATTGAACACAAAAGGAAGAGTATTGATGGCTGTCGAAATGGTATCAATGTTATAGTGTCAATCAATAAAAGAAGCATCATCGTTGAGGTTGTCCAAACGATATCCATGCTACTAGTGTCAATTGATAAAAAGCATCGTCGTTGTTCGTAGAAGGTAGAGTCGGAGAATTATTATTGAACATAGAAAGAAGAATATCATTGGTTATCGAAACGATATGCTACTGGTGTGATTGGAAGTTTGTTGAATTAGGAATAGTTTCATTGCTGACATTGATATCATTCATATCCTCGAACACATACCGATTCTATCAGTGTCAATTAATAAAGAAGCTTTATCGTTCATCGTAGAAGGTAGGATTAGAAGGAAGAGTTTTGATGGTTGTTGAAATGAGGTTAACGGGCTGGATTGATATTTCATCGGCGTTATTGGTCGTAGACGGAAACTAGCATTGGTCATAGAAGGGTGAGTTGTCGAAACGATATCAGTGTCATTAGCGTCATGCATTAAAGAAGAAACGTCGTTGATTGTTGAAGATAGAGTGTGTGATCATAGAAGGAAACGTATTGATGTCGTTCGTTCATTATTTGATTTAATGAAGGAGCCGATATCTTAATGCCCGTTAAGATGGGAATTTTTTTTGTTCACAAAAAATAAATTTTTTACGGTTTGAAGTTTTCACATTTTTCGGATTATACTTATAATTAGGATATACGCGTTTGTGATTTACACTAGTTATTTTCTCTAATGCTTTAAAGAAAAATTTGTCTTCATTTGACAGGTATCGCGAGCCGTATGTTTGACTTCTTGTCTGACACCAGGGCTACGGCAACGTAAATACGCTTCATAACCTCTTCGAAATATTATCCAACTGTTTTGTGGTCGCGGTGGTTTATCAAAATTAACGTGTTTTTTACAGCTGGTATTGTCAATTCGTCAATTGAAAAAGTTAATGGGTAAGGGCATTGTTGTAAGATCTGTATTTCATCATCAGTTAAATATTCGTAATTTTGTGCTGGGATTAGTCATTTTTGAAATATATATTGTGATGATAGAGAAAACTCAGAAGATAACAGGGATTTTTATATGATTTAAACTTTGTTGTTTTATTAAGATGATTCATTCAGTTATGAAAATGGACACGAAAAATATTCCGAATGCAGTATATGTTGTGTCTCAGATTTAACGTGCGCGTCAACAACTATCGTTATCGTACATAGCAAATAATCATTCCATCACGATGTTAGAATACACATGTCACATACACAACATAACGATAATGACTTATCAGAATGGATGAAATACATGTCTCCCCGGTCAAAAGTGTCCGACCACTTTAAAACCGGATAAAAATGCACAAACTTCAACAATTAATTTCTTGACAAT